CGCAGGATATTGAAATGACCCAGGTAGTGCCTCTTGCACCGCATGACAGTCCACCCCCCCCTCTCCCTCCACTGACAGACAATGATGAAGTCAAGAAAAAACTGGCCTTTCTTACTGAGTGGACCCTCACTAAGATATTTTCCATGGCTGACGAGGGGTCACAGAACAAACTTGCCACTGAGTACTGAGCCCAGGCCAGGGAGGTCTTGATGTTCACCCCGCGGGTCTTGGCAACACTCGAAAAGTACAGCGATGTACAGTCCATTGACTGGATGGACGTCGGGGCAGCAATTGTCTTGGTAGTCAATGAATTCCTAGACAAGATCGAGCAGTACGCTGAGAGCAGATTTTTGCATAATGGCGACTTGCAAGATAATAACAGGCCACAGACCGAGGAGGACGCATTCTACCACGAAGGATTGGCATGGCCTGGACTGCTCGTTCACGAACTCTGTGCCACACTGTACGGCTCGGCGACCGCTGCCCCCCACCAACTGGAAGAAAGGAAAAGCCAGCTCCTTACCTGGGATGCCGGCCCAGAATAGCCTGAACCACAGGCAGCACCGCCCCACCACCCTCGCAGAATAGAATTTTGAATGATGATGAAGACGACATGCCATCTGGATCGGAAGACGAGGCGCTTGATAAGCCTCCTCAGGGGCTCTTACGGGATCGCGTGAAACTACAACTACATGACACCGCCGTGATGCCAACACCGTCCGGGGTGGTAATCTTTCCGATGACCCGACAGAGGGAAGGAGGCCAGTGGCTGTTAGGGCTCAGACCCCCCCCGGATCGGCCCCTAAAGCAACCCCCGGACCCCGATGGCCTCACAGTGGAGGGTTGGAGGGGCAAGCCCTCCACAACAGTCATATTGAAGCGCCTCAAGTATTGGCCCAGGGAAACGCAGCTCCAAGGTATTCGAGGAGCGGTGCTGCCAAAATCGTTGTCGTTTCCGGAAGGGATTATTCCAGTCATTGTGCTCATGGCCGCAAACGCCACTTCCCAAGAAGCAAGGACGGCACACACATGGTTCACCCATCAACAGCTAATGAACCTGCCCGCAGACCGCTTCCGAACCAACTTTGCCTGGACACAGTGTTGGAGAAAACCCGGGGAGGGGTCACCTACGTTTCGCCGAAGCCAAGGGCAACGACGCCTGTCACTCGCCGCGCCCGCTTCCGAGGTCCTCGGCGACCCGTAGGGAATGGGTTTAGAGTGTATAGTTACTTTCCCTGCCTTTATCTTGTTAATTTCAGTAATCCCACAAGTCCACACCGCGCCTAGTTCGGACAGTCAAATGTCTGTTCAGGGAATTTGCCGAGTCAGCAAGTTTGATTAGTCTGCTGACCAGATCAGCAAGCGCGTCCCCACAACAAGATTGAATAGTTTACTAACAGTTCTGCCAGTTCACACACTAGGCGGCCAGACTTGCCGAGAAACAGATCTACAAGTTTTCCCACCAACAGATAAAAAACAGTCTGACATATCCGCCCAACAGCAAGTCAGAATAGTCAACTTCAGATCTGTAAGTTCATTTACTAGGAGGTCTGCATAATCAAGCAACAGATCCGCGGGCCCGCACACCAGAGGAATTTTGCAGTCACCAAGAGAAGGAATAAAGCAGATACATAGCCACACTCACTCGAACAGACTCCCCTTGCACAGAGAAACAAGCCCGGTGTAAAGGCGCGTCCAGTGAGCAGTGAGCACGCGTCCTGTCAAAAGCCATCAGGTCTCCAGATCGTCAATCGATAGTAGGCAACCGAATGTATTTGACGCACTCTCTGGGGTGGTATCCTCTGGCGCGCATGTGATCAGTCATCATACGAGWGAAACGAGAACGAACTCGCGGGCAGTACATAGAAAGATACGCARCAGTTTTCTTTGTCTGTTGGAACTTTTGTCYGTTGGGTCACTCACTGCGCGCACGTTCAAAGGTAGATAGCTGTGGTAAATCTGGTCTTTGCTAATGAATGCCCGTTTGTTACCTTCTCTATACAAAGGGTCCCGCCATGTATCTGATCAGATAATTGTTCCCATTCGATGATCAGATCTGCATGTTCAGGTCAATTAGCTCTCATGGTTCGCTGTGGCCTCGCTCTCTCTCACACACGCTAGCCCTCGTCTGCACTGCCCCCTCTTCCTTCAAATAGAAAGCATGATGTTGTCTGGGGGGGTACAGTCATCAGCGGGGTTCCAACTTGACAGGGGTTCGCT